TCGTTCGCTTCACGTGATATAATCTTTATCCAATAAAATATGAGATATTTATAATCCAATAATATTAAATGTTATAATGAAAGGTCATTATACAACAATATGGTGTATAATATTTAAAATCATCAAATATTTGTATTTTACAAAATATATAAACTTCTTTATAAAGAAGTAAATGCAAAATTTAATCCATGAATAGACTCTTTCTGAGAATATTCACAGAATAAATTTTGTATTTACTACTTAGTAAAGATGTTTATACATTTTATAAAACAAACGTTTGATGACTTTAGATGTTATGCACCATATCCTGCGATCGAAATCACGTGAAAATATCATCATTCGATTCGTCTAGACATGTCGAATCGAATGGTGGTATTTTCACGTGATTTCGATCGCAGGATATCGAGATATCGTCCTTGAAAATCACCGTATGTCAAAATTTAATATAAATTGCAAAGATTTAATATACAGGGATAAAGATCTAACATACGGTGATTTTCAAGGCGATATCTCGATATTTAGCCATCAGAGTCACGTGTAAATACCACCATTCGATTCGTTTAGACATGGCGAATCAAATGGTGGTATTTTCATGTGATCCCGATCGCTAGTTATTTTGAATGTAGCACACAAAATGATCATTTTTTCTTTTTTATTACTAGCACGTCATTGTAAGTTTAGCGTTAGCTAGAATTATACATAATAAATATACTAATATTTGTACTATCTGTAAAAAATTTTCCCAATTACGATTTTAACTTCGTCAAAATATCCCCTTTTCCCTTATATCATCACAATACAAATTGAATACATTTACTTGTAAAACACATTTCACATTACAAATATGTCATTAGTGGATAATAGATATTTACCATCACCCTTTGATGCTTAATTATAGACATAATTTAACAAAAGCAAATATTATTTTAAATTAAATATGTACACGTTGTAGAAACAAAATTGTGTTTATATTTGCATTTTGGTATCGAACGAAAGTTTGAAAACCCATGTGTTTTGGAATTGGTGAAATTCACTAATATAGGTAAGCTCCTTTAGTACTCATCATCTGTTGAGTGGAAGATAACCCATCGCTTAATAAAAATCATTAGGCGATAGCAATGGCGATCGTGGTGACATTGATGGTGATGGTATTGATCTTGAAGGTGACAACAAAGGTGTGTCCGAGGCATCCGGCGTAAAAATATATCGCACGGTTTCATATCCACTAGAAGAAACCTTCCAAGCGTCTGCTGAAGACGAGTCTAGCAACGATGATAATAATGCACTTTCATAAACTGATCTTTGTCGTAGTTGTTGTTGTAGTTGTTGTTGCTTGTTCTTTTTGCGTTCTGCGGCTAATTTATTTAATGCGATTTTTATGGAAATGTATTCCTCTTTTATCTCGTCGCTGATTTTCGACGAGGTGCTACTACTTTGCATGTAAAAATCTAACATGATATGGCAAAATTCTGTAAAAAATTGATTTGGAATTAATTTTTCAGTGATTTAAGTAATGATTTTCTAATTGAATTATGATCTTTACCTTCGATATCCTCGATTCGGGATAAACATATTTTATACCATGGTTGACCATCGGCGTTTGACGAAAACAAAAAGTCCTTCTTACCCAAAAAGTGGGCAGCTAGGTATATAGAAGCCGCAGCGATAGTATGTGGCGGGAACCTTAAACACAAAGTCGTTTTATAACTAAAAAGAAAACAAGAATAACATGAGTTTATAGGCCAAGCAAATAAATTATTTATTTTAAATGTTAATAAAAGTTCTTACAAACCTATCGCTGCATATTTTCCATGCTTTCTCTGCGACCACTTTCTGACCTTCTAATTTCTTTGTGAATTTGATTATGTATTTATATGGATCTTGTACTTTAAAGTCAAAACATATCGACTCCAATATCAATCGTTCATAACCGACCATTTTTTTCCTTTGTTCCTCCACCAACTGATGCAAATAATTAAACGTATTACAGACTAAATGGATCCCACCCACTTTTTGAATATATGCATATCATATACAATCCAAACAAAAACTCACTTGATCACTAGGTTCACTGCTATTTGGATGCCTAACTGACTGCACAGCTGCTACAATGTCTTTTAGTTTCTTATGTGTTTCCTCAAATTTCATCGCTGCGAAAAGACACGCTGAGCTAATATCCTTTTTTTATGATGAAATTAAAGAAACATCTAGAATTGATAATCGATTAAGCAATAATCCAAGGCAAGAAAATAGATTGATGAATAAATACATTTGGAGGATATTCTTTTGTCGAGTGAAAGAGAAAGAATCGATTGTATAAGACTTGGGCTGTACATATGGTGCTTTGTGGGCTAACATGATAATTCATAGATCAAGTCAAAAATCTCAAAATTTTCGAAATTTTCCCTATATCTCGTATACTTACAACCCAAGTTTTCGTCCAACTGTGTTAATAAAGTCAATCCATTGCGACCGAATAGCAATATCTTTATTTGTCGCAACATCATTGTTCTTGTTACTTTTGTTATTGTTATTGCTGTCAATATTAATATTATTATTGTTGCTGCTACTACTGCTTCCTCGCGAAGACTCGTTATTATGAAATTTCAAGAATTGTTGAATTTCCTCTCGAGAAAAGTAAGTTTGTGATTTTTTAGAAAGGTAGTTTATCGAGTCGCCAACCAACTCTGGGGAGCTTGTGACTGTCGGCTGGCTGTTGTCTGTTGCTGACATTATTGACGTGTGATTTTGGCTTTGAGAGCCAGATTATCATCTCTTCAATTCAACCCAGTCTAAATCCGGTTTATTTATTACATTTGCTATTTATAGGACCAGTTTTACTGAACTAAATTTCAAATTTCCTAATTTAGGTTTTGGAAATACAAGGTCAATGTGTAACACAATTTTTGAAAAGAGCTCTAATGCTAACAAAAACTTTTCCTTGCGAAATTTTACTATGAATACATTTTTGTTTGCTAAATAACCTTGACCCAGAACTCTTTTCGCATCGTTAACGTCATTAAAGAATTATCATGTGGCCCTATTATTTTCGCTGTGTTCTGCATCGAATTTTCTTGTGGCCAAACTTCCAGGTATAATTGCTGTTCTTTATTTACTGGCGAAGTCAAGTCAAAAAATTTTAATGAAGAAATAAAAAAGATATGAAGGACTTTTGCTAATTTCATTCCTGGACAGGAACCTGCCGTTCCTAATCACATTCCATTCATTCCGATCAATATTGTTACTCATACAAGTTGATGGTGTATTATTTACTATTTGATTAAACTACAAATTGTATTTTCACGAATTAAAAAATATTTGTTATCATTTAAATTCGGTTTGGTTTCGCGTGAACTTTATTTACTCTTTTAACGTATTACAACGGAATCGGATGATATGGAGCATCAATTGAAGCACAATGCCAATTGAGCGATGAAAATTTTAATGTAGAATTCTGATTGGTCAAATTAATTGTTGCGTCATAATATCTACAGTTTCAAAATTGAAAAATTTTGTGTAGATTCTAATCGTTTTCAAAGAAAATATGAGTAGAGGCGAAATTGGTCGTGCATATGGTGGTGGAAGAAATTTTGGTGCAGGAAATAGAGGAAGATTTAGCTCGCCACGAGGAGGTACTTTAGCTAAGCTATTATATATTTTATATTTAAATTCTGAAAAAGTTATTAAATTTTTATAGGGCGTGGTGGTGGTTCAAGCGCAAATTTTTCACAGGCGTATCAGGGACCACCTAATACAGTAACGCGTATATTATCAAACTTACAATTATTAATTTACCCGTGAAAATTGAACAATTTCGTATAATTTCATTTGTCAATAATAGCAATGGGCGAATTCATACACGAATGTGAAGGAGAAGCAGTCTGTCGCTCAATAAATCCAAAAATTCCATACTTTAACGCGCCAATTTATCTCGAGAATAAGACACAGATAGGAAAAGTAGATGAAATTCTCGGGCCGATAAATGAAGTTTATTTCACAGTCAAACTACAAGAAGGTATAATCGCGTCGTCGTTTAAACTCTCAGATAAATTCTATATTGCCGATGATAAGTTGTTGCCGCTGGACCGGTTCTTGCCCAAGCCGCCTGTTGTGCGGGATAAAGGCAAGTGTTTGAGTGTGCAGTTAGCTTAGTTGAAAGGGGAACAGGAGAATTGGAGTGAATTGATTGTATTTGTTAATCTTTTATTGATTTTAGGATCTAGAAAGTCAGGAGATCGAGGTGGTCGTGGAAATGGTAATTTTATTGTTATATATTTAATTACATTTTCTGTTTATAATATATTCATATCCTTTCTTAAAGGACGGGGCAGAGGATTCGGAAGAGGTGGAGGTGGATCTCGTGGTGGAGGTGGATTTCGAGGAGGAGGAAGGGGTGGTGGTGGTTTTGGTGGTGGTGGTGGTGGTTTTGGTGGAGGTGGTCGGGGTGGTTTTAAACGTGGCAGTGGTGGCGGATTTAGAGGGCGGGGAGGCGGCGGCTTTCGTGGTAGGAGATAGAATATGAATTTAGTGAGTATTACAATGTGATATAAAAATGAACTTTTGCTATTTTTCTTGAAATCTAACGATTAATATGCGTAAATAGTAATCGCGCCTAAAAAAAACGAATATTCAATCTTTATTAATAATAAGTTTCTTATATTTGGTGTGAACACGTGATACATTCAACCTAAAAGATATATTTCAAGTTATTTGATTGGCTCGCATAGTAAATTAGGTTTCTGATTGGCTCGTGCAATAACGAGTCATAATGACCTCAACACAAAAATAAGTCGATCAATAATTGTATTTTTTTCGATTTTTTGTCTATAATGGCTTTAAATAGTTTTACAATTGATCTTTCAAAGAACAACGTCGAACTTGAAACAATTAAGGAACTTGATAAAGAATGCGTAGTTTGCGAGAAACTGAATGGTATCAGTAGTGTTGCAAAAAAAATAGAGAAAAGTGTCGGCATTAACGAAATCCCAGCTGAAGCCAGAAATATAACTGTTATACCTATCAAAGTTGAATTTGAACTCGAAAAAACTGACACACTGGAATTATCAAATGTTAAAGAGTGCGCTTTTTTAAACAATGAATTGAGTGATCATGGTTTTCCCAACGATATTGATGCGGAAAATAAAGTTATTCCACCTTTTGAAACTGTTCCCCATAGTAAGTTGGCTTTGTGGATATGACTTTTTTTGAAGATGATATTAATTCAATTGATATACACTGAATAACGATGAATTTCTTAAAGCTGACTCTGACGCGTTAAATAAGTCAAATATAGCATTGGACAAATTAATCAAAGCTAACATTAACGTGCATACTAAAGAAGAAGATATAGAAAATATGTCGGAACAGAATCAAAAAAATAATAGGTAAAAATTATTGTTTCAAAGCATTATGTTTCTACATAATTTTAACATACCTTTCCTTTGTTTAACAAGTATAAATGAATCCCTTGCGTTAAATCATCATGAGCAACAAATCGACACAGTTACTCCACAATTAAGCGTGGAAGAACGCGAGGCGTTGTTAAGAAAAATGGATATGCTTTTAGAAGCAGAAATTGAAGAGTCTGAAGAGTCAGAGGCGTTGGAGGATGAAGATTCCGACGATTCCGGCGATTCTGATTCCGATAATATTGAATTAAATTTTGATAAAGTTTTTGATGAAAAAAAGAACATTTTGCATACAAAGAACGAGATTATTGATGTACCCGTCAACAAGCCAGAAGTAAACATTACTGACGACCTGGAAATCCAAGCAATAGGCACAATAAATCATATTGTGGAGAATGTTGTTGTCGTGTCATCTTTATTCTCTGATAGAAATAAAGTCTTGGATGCAGGTAGTATACTTGTATTTGAGAACAGAGAGTTAATTGGTGAGGTTAGTATTACGATATATATAAATATTAAAAGTTCGCTATTAAAAACGAATTCACCTATTTGATATAGATATTTGAGACATTTGGACCTGTACATAAACCCCACTACAGTATAAGATTTAAAGACGAAGAAGAAATAAACATAGAAAAATATCGTCAAGGGGTTAAAGCTTTTGTTGTTTTGAAATTTGCAAAACATGTTTTTGTCAAACCGCTTCAACAAATAAAAGGCTCTGATGCAAGTAACCAGTTTGACGAAGAAATTGATGAATCGGTATCTAGAGAGAATATAATTGCCCTATTTTGAATATTACCTTTGTTGAAATTTTATCTAATCTTTATTATTCTTTCAGGAAATTGAATTTTCGGATGATGAGCGAGAAGCTGCACATAAAGGAAGACTGTTGCATCAGAAACGTCAAAGGTATAAATTAGGTTTTTTGTTTAATTCTTAGTGAATTAGAATTCATAGCAAATTTCATGATGATTTACACGTATTCATATTCTATAAATTAGGCAAGTCAATTCATATGAAAGCACATCGACCGAAAGAACGCCAAAAATAAGAAGGCAGCCAAATCAGAGACCATCATACCGAACGAATATCACCGCACAAACTGATAATTCATTTGAATATATACCTCTTCAAAGACCCAGACAAATGATAACACCTAACAACAACATCAACTATTAATTTATCTGCGTTCTAGCTGACAGCATTTGCTGATAAAGAGAAAACTTCAGGTGAAATAAACTGACTCGTTTATCAGGTTCGCGTAGATATCTAATATACATTTTATACTCTTGGTCCCAGTGCATTTTTAGAATTTTCATTAAAAATAATTTGACAACAGATTAATTTGTGAAATAGTGATTTAAATCGAAATTCACTAATTGACAAATTATTTTTAATGAAAATTAGAGGTTTCAAGATCTCAAATGAACACTTCTTTATTCTGTTTGAACTAATAGTTAGTGTTCTTGGTCGATAACAAGAAATCGACTGATCGACCCAAAATTATCAGCCAAGTAACATTCTATATTTAGTAATATATAACGCTAACTGTAGCGCTAAAAATCGGCCAGTCAATTTTTCGACTTGATCTACCGTAAAGTCCCGATCTTTAGCAACCCCTGAATAACCCCATTTTTAATAAAGTCACTTAAATTTTGTGTGCTTTCTTTTGCGACACATTGTGTAATAATACAATTCAAATCAAACTTATGCGAATTATGCTATATGCAAAAAGCAGAACATAATTCTGAATATCCAAATTGATATAAAGAAAGTAATTGTATACAGTACACATATTAACAAATAATTAAAAATGAATAATATTTTTATAAAAAAATCTAAAATCAAAACTCATATACAAAGAATGTCATAAAACATCCGAAAAACTGTTTGTTATTCATGAAGCTAAAAAAAATCAGAATTTTAGCTGCGGCACATAAATTTGGCATTGACAAATCAATGGTATCATAATGGACAACTCAAGAAGAAAAATTTAGCAATGCAACATCAAAAAATTGATGTGTTGGTTCCAGAGAAATTGTGATCTATCCAGTTGCTGAAGAAGAACTTATTAAATGGATATATGAACTTTATCTTATTGGAATTGCTGTAACTACAGCAACTATTAAAATACAAATAACTATAATTTTAAAAACAACTTGTGCAAGTTATTATTCAGATGCTTTTAATCAATTTCATGCTTTAAGATCCTGGTTCTATCAATTTTTAAAATGATATAATCTTTTTCTTCAATATCAAACTAAAATTAGTCAAAAATTATCTAGTAATCTCAATGAAAAAATCATTCAATTTTAACAATTTGTAATTTAATCATAATTAAAGTATCAATATAATTTTTCTCAAATTGCTAACATGAATGAAATATTTATTTATTTTAACATGATTAGTCCTATTACAGTTGATATAAAAAAATTAAAACTATTCAAATTCAAACAATTGATAATGACAAAAACTGATTTATATATATTTTAGCTATTATAGTTAATGATAAAAAACTTTCTCCTATAGTGATTTTTAAAAATATACAAATTTTTATTAATTTTTCATCAGGAATTATTGTTTGCATACATAAAAAAGCTTGGATGAATAAACATTTAATATGTGAGTGGATAGAATAAATTTGAAATAAATGATCTGGAATAAATAAATCAATATCTTTACTTATTATGAATTTATTTGAGGGATATAAAACTAAATTGATAAAAGAAAAATATAATATTACTAATATTCATTTGATAATTATTTCAGAAGATTTAATATTTATAATACAATCATTAAATAAGTATATCAACAAATCATTTAAGAATAAATTAAGGAAAAAATGGTATTTATAGATATGTAATAGTGAATATCAAATAGTTAATAGTGATAATTTCAGAAAATCTGGATATGATTTGATTTGTCAATAAATTTTTGAAACATGAAATAATATTCTGATAAAAATTATTATTAAATCATTTAAAAAATATGAAATTTTGAATCTATTAGATAATAATATAGAAATTAATAATATAATTATTATAATTGATTAAAATGATATTTTTAACAAAGAATTAGAAAAAAATATTTAGTTTTTTAAGATTATTTTATTATATAAATTTTTTTTATGCTAAAAATATTTTATATATACTGTATACAATTATTTTTTTATAATGAATTACCATATCAATTTGAATATTCAGAATTATGTGATGCTTTTTGCATATAACATAATTCGCATAAGTTTGATTTGAATTGTATATGTAAATTGATTTGATTATTATACAATATATATCGCAAAAGAAAGCACACAAAATTTAAGTGATTTTATTAAAAACGGAATTATTCAGAGAGTTGCTAAAGATCGAAACTTTACGATACTTATTTTTTGATTGGAAAGTTTACGAACAGTGCTGGATCACGTGACTTTCAAAAATCTACGCTCACGTGATCACGGAAAATTGACAAAATTATTTTATCGTTTGAAGAATGTTATAAGTCAAAGACCACGTGATTCAACATTGTCCGATCTCAATTATGGCGAAATTCTCGGAGCACGTGATATTTATGTACGGAAAAATTCTACGATAATAGAGGTGTTATTGTTAAAGATTAGAATCAAATTTATATATAAAATTGCCTTCCCGACATTTTTGATTAGTGTACCAAGCTAGACTTAGACATCTGTTTCCCGTATTTTTTGCATTTTTCATTTTCTTGTGTAGGATTTGTTTTGTCGGGCTGATCAAAAACTGATTCGACAATTTTAGCAAACCAATTATCGTTATTGATAAAGATACCAAAAAGTTCAAGCTGAACCATTTATAGTCTAGGTTCGGATTAACTTATTAACATTTATATATACTATCGCTATATCGTGAGTTTAATTGGTCTTCACTATAAAGGGGGTACACTATAATGAGAGTTACTGTGTATACAGTGACTCACGCATGTAACGAAACACGAAAATTAACTTTCTAGAATTTTTATTTCCATGACTATTAATTAGTTCAAACAAAATAAAGATGTGTTCATTTGAAATCTTGAAACCTCTAATATTTTTTAATATGATGGCAAATTATTATTTACTTATATAAATGTAAGTATATAAAAAATGTCTTATTAATTGATATGCTTTGATGTGATTGTGTTAACGTTAATTACATAATGGATATATTTGAAGAAATAAATATTACATTTTGAAAAGAATGATTTATCAATAGACGAAAATTTTGTTAACAAACTTCTTAAAATGATTACTTATTCAAAACAAGAATAGCTCATTTAATCTGGAGTTACCAATTCAGCAATAATTAAGTATAAAAACTTTTTTGCGTCTTAATAAATTTATTTATTTTATGTTTTCAGAAGCATTGTTCTCTGTTAAGAAAATGAATCTGAAAACTTAAATTTCATAATACAGGTGCAAAGTGTTTTTAGTCGTATCTCCTTTCCTTACTAATAACTCATTTGCGCAGCTAATTTCTGTTCTCTTATCTTTGTGTTAATTTCTCGATTAATGAATGAACAGTTTACTTATCGATTTCAATAACGATAACTTATATAATAACTCTATTAAATATAGAAATTATCAATTCCCATATTCCAATGCAAAACTCGCATTTTTTTTTTTGCGAAATGACAAGCTGCGATAACAAATTAATATTTTACTTGTATGTCTTTTTTTATCCGTAATTAATTTCTTAATAAATTACAATAGTGATAGTAATTGTTCCAAGTTTACAAATCATATATGGTCGTCAATATTTGATAAAGCAGCAAGTGTCACACCTCTAACCACTTCTTTTAAACAATGGAAGAAGAGCGAAATAGCATGATTTTAATTTAAGTGCTTCGGTAAGGGGCGTGCCATTTATCACGTAATTATTTTTAATTAGCATGGTCGGTCTAAAGCCATCCAATATTTTGAACTGCAAAACTTTGTATCAAATATGTAATTACAAAAAAATACATTGTCAAATAGCTTTGATAAGATCTATAATGCAATGTATTTTTTTCGTTATAATACATATACATGTATTTGTTAATTTCGAACGATTTAATTAGTTTGCCTTCGCGAATGTGCCTTTCTGACACCAAAAAACGAGCCACACATACGTTACACCACGTGAGCTGGTGAATTTGGATTTGTCGCGTGGCGCAGCGCTTGGTTTATGTGTCTTCTGTGGGCATTGTCAAAAATGGTATCGGGGCTTATGATAAAATCAGATTAACGAAAAAAATGGCCTTTCCACAAACAAGCTCTTCAATGCCTTTGCCACCTATAAAGATTACCCCGATAACTGAAGAACTAATGTCACCCATTTCTCCGACAATACCCAAGTCTGTGTCTTCGAGCACTACGGTTTTTATTAATAATGCTTTGGAGACTATTAATACGAGTAGGGAGGGAAGAAGAAAGGGAAAACTAAAAGATAGTCTTGTCAAAGCTATTGGTATGCAATTTTTTCTTGGTCATTAGAGAAAGTTATGTAGTTTTACACGGCTCGCTTAAATGGCTCAGATTTTGCTCATGTAGAAGTAAAATACCTTAGTTTGCAAAGATAATTTAATAAAACGCGTAATTTGAAACAGAAAATCTCCATTTTTATTTTTATTATTGATTTTAATATTAACAACTAAAAATAAATAAAAATTGTAGAAATGATCAAAAAAGAGGAAACGACAGGAGAAAGGTGAAAAACAAATAGCAAATTCAAACAACTTTATTCTATGCTTTTTTATTCAGTTAACAATAAAGAAATATAACACTTTCGAAAAAACCAATGACAGTAGCGATGCTTGTATAATATTCGAACCACTTCAATTGGCCTGCCAGACGCGGACAACATCTCTTATGATAACAGCATTAGACTGTATTGGAAAATTGATTTCTTATAATTATTTGATTGAGCGGCCAGTCCCATGGTCCCCAGATTTGGGCAATGAAAAAGAACCAGGGACTACTACGCGTGTCATCAAGCAACCCTTATCTGAACGTATTGTTGATACGATTTGTGAATGTTTTGTTGGAGAGTACACAGATGATAAAGTGCAATTACAGATAATAAAGGTTTTTTTAAATGCTCTTTTTATACTCATTTTCATTATCATCATTTAAGATTAATGTTACTTTTTTAAAATGTGGAAATTGATCAAAATTTAATTAATCACAAAAGGCATTACTTGCGGCTGTATCATCAACAACAGTACCAATCCATCAATCTTCTCTATTAAAGTCAATTCGTACAGCCTATAATATATTCTTATTATCACGAAATCCCAACAACCAAATTGTGGCTCAAGGAATACTAACACAAATGGTTCATCATGTTTTTGCAAGAGTGAAAATTCACGAGAAAAATAAATCTTTTCGATCAGATACTACAGAAAGGCAAGATATGTCTAATAATAATATCAATGATAGTAACAGTATAAGTAATGGGGGCGGTAGTGGGGGAATTAATAATGACGGTATGACAATTATAACTGCAGAATCGGAAATGGATCTTGGAATGTTGATGACACTTAATGATGGAGAAGAAATGGGAAAAGAACACGAAAACAATAATATTAACGGTAATAATGATGATAGTGAAATAACACGGAAATTTTCAAGTGATGTGACTACTACTCCAACTGTTGAACCAGACAATCCGCTAAATAAAGAATTAGGACAATTAAAAGCGGCAAGTGATTCACGAGAAGAGATTGTGAAAGCTGTCGCGGAAGAAATGGAAGAAAGCAAAGGGGGCTCAGGTGAATCCTCTGTAGAAGAGAAACTCACATTGTATGTATTTTTTGTCCGTGGATATTCCTCTAATATTTTGCTAATAAAGTTTTTTTCTTTTTTTTTTACGCTTCAAAAACATCGTTCAATAACAATCAAAGACAATCTTTTGAAAATCGTAAGTCATTTGAGGGTGCTTCTGAATTTAGCAGCATCAACGACACATCAACAAATAAGCCCAACTTATACGTCAAAGATGCATTTCTTGTATTTCGGGCACTTTGTAAATTATCTATGAAACCACTGTCGTCTGAAACTTCAATGGATCTGAAATCGCATTCTATGCGATCTAAATTATTGTCACTTCACCTGATGTTAACGATATTAAGTTCACATATGCCCGTTTTCGCATCACCAGAGGTGATTATTACATCATCGACTACTTTTGAGAGTACACCATTAATTCAAGCGGTAAAACAGTATTTGTGTTTGAGTTTGAGTAGGAATGCTGTAAGTCCTGTACAACAGGTGTTTGAAATCAGTTTGGAAATATTTTGGAAATGTTTGAGTCGGTTGAGAAGTCATTTAAAGGTATGAATCAGCGCATTTTATTTTATGAATCATTTTGAAATAATGTCTCATAATTTGATTTTTATTTGGCGCAGAAAGAAATTGAAGTTTTTTTTAATGAAATTTTCTTACCAATTCTTGAAATGAGAAATTCTTCAACACAACAAAAATATGCGCTGTTGAATATTTTATTGAGAATTTGTAATGATCCGCAAGGACTTGTGGAAATTTACCTTAATTATGATTGTGAACGCGAAGCATTAGATAATATATATGAAAGGTGAGAAAGGGAATTTAATAATTAAATATTTTTGGAAGTCGAAAGGTCCTATTCATTAATAATTTGATTTCAGAATCGTGAATATTGTATCAAAGATTACAACCAGCTATTCTACTGGTATCATTTCATCATCTTCCGCCTCAACTATACCTTCTTTCGATCCAAACAAAGAAAAAGATCGAGAATCTAATTTATCATCATCGTCATCTACGGCGAACACATCCAATAAAAATACTGGATCTTCTTCCCCAATAGTCATTATTCCACCATCACTTACTACCACAACCGTTGAAAAAACAAAGCCACCACAATCACCATCTCACATTCAAGCAGAGCTCGTATTGAAAATTCAAGGGCTTGAATGTCTTGTGTCTGTTCTTCGATCTCTCGTTGTCTGGTGTAGTAATAAATCAGATGAAGATGGTGACGCGTATTCTCGCAGGAGTGATGATACTCTTCTTGAAATGACATCTCCTCGGCCTTCATCATCCACTCTACTAAATAATAATAATAATCATAATCATAATAATCATAATAATCATAATAATCATAATAATAATAATAATCATAATCATAATCATAATAATAATAATAATAATAATAATGATAATGATAATGATAATGATAATGATAATGATGATGATAATAATAATAATAATAATAACAATAATAATAATGATAATAATGATAATGATAATGGTATCGGCAAAAATACACATACAAATGCAAATAGTACGAGTAAACCTTCGCCAACATCTTCAATAGTGTCACTTGGCTCACAATCAGCTAACAAAAACGAGAAAATTACGAGTGCTTGGAAAGCGATGGATGATCCCGAACAATTTGAAAATCTAAAACATCGTAAACAAATACTTCAAGATGGTATTAAAACTTTTAATTTCAAGCCAAAAAGAGTACGTATCTTTTCATCTTTCTTTATATTAATATATATGAAATCTCTTATGGTAACAAAAAAATAAAATAAAATATTTGACATATTGATCATTCTGATTTCATAAAAGGGTATTCTTGCTCTATTATCTGCAGACTTTATCACGAGCACAGCCCCGATCGATATCGCACGATTCTTGTTGACTTCCGAAGGATTGAATAAAGCTATGATAGGAGAATATTTGGGCGAAGGGTAAGAAATAACTATTTTCTATTATAATGTCGACTAGTATTTAATTACCTTATTTGTGAATTAATTAATTCTTCTTTATTTGTTGTTTCTTTATAGTGAACAAGAAAATATTGCTATTATGCACGCATTTGTCGACTTAATGGATTTTAATCAGATGAAATTTGTCGATGCGTTGAGGCTATTTCTACAGTCTTTTCGATTACCGGGTGAAGCTCAGAAAATCGATAGATTTATGCTAAAGTTTGCAGAACGTTATGTGGACGGAAATCCTAATCAATTTGCAAATGCGGGTACGATGAATTCTTTCTACATAATAAATCCTCTAATGATCATTTATATACACAAATATTAACATATACCACTAAACTGGCAATACAAACAGACACCGCGTATGTTCTCGCATATTCTGTTATAATGCTCAATACTGACTTGCATAATCCACAAATAAAACGTCGTATGACTAAACCGCAATTTATTCAAAATAATCGCGGTATCAATGATAACTCTGATTTGCCTGAAGAGTATTTGGAGGCGATTTATGACGAAATATTGAATAATGAAATCAAGCTGAAGGATGAACAAGAAGCTGCGGTGATGCAACACGCTGTGCCATCGCCCTCTGGAGGTATTGGAATATCTACTATTGGAAATGCGATAGTTAATGCTGGTCGCGATTTTAAACGAGAAGCGTATCAGGTTGCGTCTGAAGAGATGGCTAATAAGACTGAGGTTTGATCATATTTTTTGTATTGGTAAGAAGTTTTTATTTCGATTCTATTTTGATTATATTACTTTTATAATAGAATCTGTTCAAGAGTATGTTAAGAGCTCAACGTCGCGGTATTTACACGGCAAACACGACATTTTATAGCGCCTCTCATTTCGAACATGTCCGTCCAATGTTCGAAGTTGCCTGGATGCCTGTGCTTGCTGGGTTATCGGGGCCTCTACAAATCACCGAAGACCCTCATATAGTAACTCTAGCTCTGGAAGGATTCAAATTGGCTATTCGCATAATATGTCTTTTCGATTTAGAACTTGAACGCAACGCATTCGTCACTACTCTTTCAAAATTCACATTTTTGAATAATTTGGGCGAGATGAAACCGAAAAACGTTGAGGCGATAAAATCTCTTTTGGACATTGCATTGACTGAAGGAAATTACTTGAAAAATTCTTGGCGTGAAGTGTTGATTTGCGTCAGTCAATTGGAGAGATTTCAGTTGATCAGTAATGGGGTTGATCAGACTGTCGTGCCAGATTTGTTTAATGCACGAAAACAAAATCGGTAAGGTATTTTTAGTAATTATTTTTTTACTTGTTTCGATATGAATTAATATTTTCAATGTTAGAAAAAGTTCTACCGAGTCTTCAGTTTCAAGACGTACTTCCTTCTCTAAACGTCCTTTTTCTTCAAAATCAATTTCACAAGTAATTTTTTCTTTTTAATTGAGATTTATATTTTTAATCAAATTAATGTTAATGATTCCGCATTGTATGTTAAAAGGTTGTGTTTGCAGAAGATGTCGCGATGCAAAGCAGATCTTCAGAAGTTGTCGTAGCTGTGGATAAAATTTTCAGCTCAAGTTCAAATCTATCTGGGGTATTTAGATATCTATGATCATTTGTCATTAATTTTATATCACTAATCATCTTCTTGCTTCATAATTAAAGACTGCTATAGTCGAGTTTGTACGAGCATTATGTGAGGTCTCTTGGGAAGAAATACAATCTTCTTCAATGACAGAACACCCTCGAATCTTCAGTTTACAAAAATTAGTAGAGATTTCATACTACAACATGGGACGTATCCGTATGGAATGGTCTAAAGTTTGGGCGATTTTAGGTGAACATTTTAATCAGGTATTATTCTTAATATGATGAAGAACACTATTGATTTATGCTTATATTAGAATCATAAAGATAACAATATTTTATGAATTGTCGTCATATAAAAGGTTGGTTGCCATCCAAATGTACGTGTTGGATTCTTTGCAATCGATTCTCTTCGTCAATTGTCGATGCAATTTCTGGCCAAGGAAGAATTGCCACATTTCAAATTCCAAAAGGATTTCTTGAAACCATTCGCATATATTTTGGCTAATAATCCAAAGATCGAGTTAAAAGATATGGTAGATATTATCGAATTGTCCAATTATTGTTTTTTCGGTTTTATTTTCTTTATCTCGTGTTTGAACGCTGTAAGTAAATTTTTTTTATCTCGTATAGGCATTAAGATGCTTACAACAAATGATACAAGCACGAGCACAAAACATAAAATCCGGTTGGAAAACAATGTTTAGTGTGTTTTCGTCTGCGGCGAAAGAACCACATGGTAGGTAAATTTAATCCAGTATTATTGGGTTTTTTATGGTATTCAATTTTTTTCTTTGCGTCCTTTTTTGTATAAAGATAATTTAATGTTTAAATTATTTCTTTAGAGTCAATTGTTGTCATGGCATTTGACCTTGTAAAAGGACTATTCAAAAATCATTTCGAAGTTGTGGTGGCTAATAGCACATACCCCGATCTGATGGTATGTCTTTGTGAATTTTGTAAGAACGATCGGTTCCAGAAAACAAGGTACCATATAACTTCGCGAGTTTTTCTATTAAAGAATAATTTCTTATGATTAATAATATAATATTCTTTTGTTCAGTCTTCAAGCCATTGAACTGATTGATCAATCAATCTCGAAAATGTTAGAGTATCCGAAATATCAAATAAACGGTCAGATAATCGGAACCAACGAGGATCCTTCGTTCAAATTCTGGTATCCTGCACTGTTTGGGTTTCATGATATAATTATGAATGGTGATGACTTGGAAGTACGAACAAGGTAAGAATTCCATATCTGTTTATTTTGCATCATCATTATGATTTAGCCTCACAAGTTAAATTAAATGAAAATACAGAGCTTTACAATACATGTTTGACACACTAAAAAAATACGGGTCAAAATACTCCGAAGAATTTTGGGATGTCATTTGTCGACAGGTGCTCTTTCCTATTTTTGGCGTACTCAGGTCCAACGGCGAAGACTTGCTAAAAGTAGATAGTCCGGAAGATATGAGCGTGTGGTTGTCCACAACTATGATACAGGCTCTACGTAATATGATTGATTTGTTTACGTATTATTTCGATACTTTGGGGAAAATGTTGGATGGGTTATTGGATTTATTGAATTCGTGTATTAGCCAAGGTAATTGAATTTCAATCTTTCTATAATGCCGTCGCCTTTGTGGTCTTAATTCAGGATGGTATGATTGATCTGAAAAAAGGTCAGGTCTGGTTAATAGTCACCTGATTCAAAGCTTTATCATTAACTTATATAAATTTATAAATTATAGAAAATAAGGCACTTTCACGGATTGGAAGTTCTTGCTTACAACAATTGATAGAGAACAACGTGACAAATTTGGATTTTGTGCATTGGGGAAAAATTAGCCAAGCATTTATACGGTTATTTGAGATGTCGACACCTTACAATTTACTTGACGAAGACAATCATTTTCTCGAATCGGCACATGAATTAGTTGATGAAGAGGAGATGAATGAAGGTAACAAAGAAATCACAAATGCTTTTATTTGGAATCGAAAAGAGATTAATTTATTTCTAATTTCCATTGTATTATAACAAAAAATAAAGATCAAGAAAACGAAGACCTCATAATAAACATAGACTCGGTCCGGAAAGAAATCAGTAGTTGGAACAACGATAACGAAGTCGACGAATACTCTTCACCCACAAAGAAAAGAACTTCACAGATCCGTCAACGGCACTTTGAAGAATTCGACAACATAAAAGTGAAATGTATACTACATTTGCTTGTCATTGAAAACATCAATGAACTATTGAAAATAGAAATTATATATAAGTTGATGCCCGTTGAGCATTTATTGATTCTCGCGGGGTGTCTTGAAAAGTCGCATGAGTTTGCGCTTAAATTCGATGAGAATTATGAGTTGAGGTTGGCGCTTTGGAAATTGGGTATTTTTGTGTTTTATTTTGTGATTTGGCATTTTTACTCTGAACCGGAGATAATAAATGGATTATATTTTTTAAATTAATAATAAAGGTTTTATGAAACGACTACCCAACTTGCTAAAACAAGAATCAATTAGCGCGACCTCTTACATAAATCTAACGTTACGCATGTTACGCGATCCAAATGAAGATCGACAACAAAAAAAGCAAGAGATAGAAAAAAAATTAATACCGTATGTAGTTTTGCTATACTTTAATCACATAGAACCTTGTTTCCGATTAGAAAACTAATAAAACATTTTTTATTCAATTTGACCTGTTTGATCAACAACAGACTAACATTAAGTATTCTACGACGCTATAACTCTTTCGATCGTAAAACTCAAGCGCCGTATGTTACCGCGTGGACACCGGTCATTGCTATCGTACTTCATTGTTATTTAAGCTTTTCTGATGAAGATGTGAGTTTTCTTCTAAATAATAATTCTCTTTGACTTATTCTTTTTTCTATTATTTAATATTTTATATTTTGATATAGTTTCTAAGATATATTAACAACATCTACCCGGTTGCTTTGGACCTACTACTTCACGAGCTTGGAAAAGATGTACGTCCACTTTTACAAGAACTATTTATACGAACTGGAGTTCTTTATAAAATAACCAACACCACATCCACCCTAACCACCTCGACTTTTAATACTGTCATCTCGAACCGAAAAACATCAATTAACATCACCACTTCTAATATTAATCCTCCATCATAGAGTAATTTAATTTTTATAGTGATAGTGAAAAAATAGATTTTGTTATATATTATTATGATCACGGACGTGTGATAAAAATGTCACTTCGCGTCGCGGTTTTATACTGCACTGGCTGTAAAGCCAAGTAAATTTTAAAAGTTGTCTCCAAATTGAATTGTACATGTTGCAAAAGACATTAAATAATAAAAAGAACTTTTAATACCGATCAGTGCTGAAAAAGTGAAAATTATCCTTCGCCAAAAAAAAAGAAAATTGTGTATTGGCCAAAATATTGGAAAATTCTCCAATAGTTTATTAAGGGCGTGTTCTTGGATTATTTAGCGTTATTTAGCGTTATTTATTTATCTAATTTTATTTAATTTTCAACTTACCCTGAGTCAAAAATCAGGTATATACACACCCCTACAATATATTACCGGACTTTGATCAACCCAGTCTAAAAGTTGAATATTATGTGTTGATATCCACCAAGTCGTATATATTGAAGTATGACATGACACTTCATCTTGCTGAAATATAGCGTTTGGATATTGGCGAGCCCAGAATATGAAATAATTGGCAAGAACCTTAAACATCTGAATCCATGATTTCTTCTATCGACACCAAAGAACCAACTCCATTTCAACCAAAACATTACTGATCCTCCGCCAAACTTAATAGTAGATTTAATACAATTTTGATAATAAGCTTCACCAGGTTTTCATAATATTCTTATCCAGTCATTTTATTCCAGTTATTTTTTTCTTTGCACCAATTTAACTGATGAATTTCTTGATTTGGAGTCAAAAGAGATTTCTTTCTTGAAGTATAGTTTCTGAACTCTATTTGATATAAGTCTTTGTAAATGATATTTGAATAATAAGTAATATAAATTGTCATTTAATTTATTTGTAATTTCACTAAGTGAAGAAAACTGATTTTTTAAAGTAACTTGTTTTAGTGCATGTTTTTTATAATTAATTAAAGTTTTTGGTCAACCAGAACATTTTTCATAATATGAAAAATTTGGTTTTATAATAATGTTTTATGATATTATATATTGTTATTTGAGGAATTTTAAATTAAATGAGTTTTTTTATTTATATTAGTAAAATAAATATTTATTATTTGTTTTCTTTGATTATTAATCATATATTTTTTAAAAGAAAAAAATGAGTTTTTTTATATGTATTGTTAATAATTAATTTTTTTTATTTTATTTAATAATTTTAATAATTTAAGATTTTATTGGATGAATTTGAAATCATGTGATTTTGCATGTGACTTATTATTTGTTATATATTATTTAATTTTTTGTATTTTATAATTTATTATAATTAATCAAAAATTATTATATTTTAGCATACTTAATTATTATTAATTGTACTTAATTATTAATTATTATTATTATTATATTATTAATTAATATTATTATAAAAATTATATTAATTCAAAAATATATAGTGTTTAAGTTTTAATTTAACATGTTGAAACTTGAAAAATAATAAAATAATAAACAAAAATCTTTTATTTTTTAATAATTTATCTTTTATTTTTAATTATATATTATATACAAATAACTTTATTATATAAAAATAATTTTAAATCATATTAAGCTTATTAAAAAATTGTTATTAGATTTATTAAAATCATATACAGTCAAATCTTTATAGTCACATTTGTTTATAGTTACACCCCTCTATAGTTATTTTATTTTGCTTTCCCATTTATATATAAATATAGTAAAAAAAACCTCTTTATAGTCACATTTCTTCTATAGTCATCAAATTTTGCTTTCCCTAGAATGGTAACTATAAAGGGATTTGATTATATATGATAAAATTAATTTTAATCAAAATAGAATAAATATAATTATTGAAAAAATTAAATTATTAATAATATATTAAAATAAAATTATATTTATTTAATAAATTTATTTTATTCAAAAAAATTTTTAAACAAAGTTCACTTATTGAAAATATGATATTTTTTTCTTATAAAAAACAAAGTAAAAGTATTTATATTATTTTAATATTACTAATTATATTTTTATAGTTCAATATTAATACAAAAAATTAAAATATTATATTTTTCTTTATTTTATAATATTTTTTTGGCTTTATTTTTTTATAATTCTTTTATATTTTTATTTTTTCTTTAAACTATAATAATTTTAGTAAAAATTAATATAGTATTTAAATACTTCTTTTTTATTATTTTATTTTTCTACTTAATTTTTTCTTTTAATTTTTGTTCAAATTTGCAAACTAATTCTTTAATTATTTGAATTTTCAATTTATCAAACTCTTTTATTCTAAAAAATTTTTATATTTTATTTTCTTTATTTCTAAATAAACAAAAATTATTTTTTTATTAAAGAATTTGATAATTATTATTTTAAAAAATATAATTAAAACAAAAATCAAAAATATAAAACAAATATCAAATTTTTTAAATTATTTTCATTGTTATTTATTAATAAAAAATTAATATATAATTTTTTATCTTTTAAAATTGGATTTATTTTTGTAAAATTATAATATATTTGCAATAATATAACAAATTTTTTAATAAATAAAAAATTTTAATTTAAATAATATAAATTATATCTAATTTTATCAGAACTAATTTATTTCTTATTATTTTAGTTTTTTAATTAATAATTTATATAGCAAAAAATATTTATTAAATAATTATTTATTTATAAAAAATTTAACATTAAATTATATTTAATTGAAAAATTTATTTGTTATAAAATTTATGAATTCAAATTAGTTTTAGTAATAAAATTTCTTTATTATTATATTTTTTATTATTATTATTTTATATTAACACTCTATAATAAACTATACAAATATATAATACAAAAATAACAATAATTAAATTATTAAAAATCCAAATAAAATTTTGAAATTTAGTTCAAATTTAGTTAAAAATCTTAACCAAATTTATTATATACTCACAAGATAAAATACAAATTAATTATTAATATCAATTAAAAAATATTATATTAATTATTATAATTAAATTAAATAATAAATTAAAAATTAAATTCAATAAAAATATAAATAAATATAAATTATAGTCAAACCTTTTTATAGTTATCAGCCTCAGGAAAGCAAAATTTGATAACTATAGAGAGAATGTGACTATAGAGGAAATGTGACTATAAAAAGATTTTTTTTACTATATTTATATGTAAATGGGAAAGCAAAATAGAGTGATTATAGAGGGATATGACTATAAATATATGTGACTATAAAGAGGTTTTATTGTAATAAGATATAATATTAATAAGAATATAATATTATAATATTATAATATTTAATAAAAATATAAGTAATAAAATATATTATAATACTTTTAAATATTAGCTTATACAAAAAAACTTTTATTATATTAGATTAAATATATTTATTTTTAAAATAAACAAGTTTATTAATAAATATAAAGTTCAATAAAAACTTCTAAACTAAAATATATTTTAGAAACTTAATAAAATAAATACATCAAAAGTAGAAAATAAATTGGTTAATTAATATAAAAACAATAACTTTTTTCAAGATTAATTAATTATTTATCTGATTCAAATAAAAAATCTAAAATTTAAATCAAAAAAAACTATTTGAAAAAAACAAAAATTTTAAAAAAAAAATTTATTTGAAAATTCAAACAACAAAAAATATTAATAAATATATAGCAAATTTAAATATTATTTATAATAAACTAAATAATTTTATTATTATCTTAATTATTGAATTAAAAATTAAAAAGAATTACATATTAATCAAAAAGTTCAAAAATAATAATTGATAATTTATAAAATAGTTCAAAGATTTTGAAATAATAATAATAACTAACAAAATTATTAATATAAAAAATACAAATTATATATAAATATTTAAAAGATATAGTTATAATATAATTTAATTAAAAAGTTTTTAATAATACTTTTATTTTAAATATTTGAATTATATATAAAAAATTAAATTTATTATAATTGGATTAATTTAATTAAATAACTATAATATAATAATTATATTTCTATTAATTAAAAATTATATTATAATTAGAAATTTATTATAAATAAAAATTATATTGTAATTAAAATTATATTATAATTGAAAATTATATTATAATTAAAAATTACATTATAATTAAAAATTATATTATATATAGTAATTAACAAAATTATAGAATCATATATATAATTTTATTAATAAAATATAATAAAAATTTTTATTTTTATTTTATATAAAAGTTTTTAATTTTATTAATAAAATTGCATGTGTAATTTTATAATTTTGTTAATTATTATATATCAATTTTAAAATAAAAAATAAAACAAAAAAATCTTTTATAATACTGAAATCAAAAATTCATTAATAATTAAAATAATAATAACAATATTAATAATAATTGGAGCTAAAAATAAATTAAAAACAACAAAAAAAATTAATAGTAAAATTAGAAAAAAAATAAAAAGATATGAAAGAATAAAAATAATAAAAATAATAAAAAAATAAATAAATAAATAAATAAAATTTCATCATAAAGTTAATAAACTAATAGTTAAAATATTAATAAATAGTATAGTAATAATAATAATGATAATAATAACAACAACAATAACCATAATAATAATAATAACTAAAATGATAAAAGTAACAAATAAATAATAAAAAAAGAATAATCAATATTAATCAACAAAATAATAATAATATATTATCTGAAAAAAATAAACATTACAAACATATAGAATTATTTACAAAAAAGAAATATACTTCAAAGTTTAATATTGATAAATATTTACTTGTTAACTAAAAAAAATTGTTTTCATTTTTGGTAAAAAAATAAATATAATTAATGCTTTTTATAATTATACTATCAGATTTAATAGTAAGTTTTTTATAAATATATAATGTATCTGGCTTAGTTATATCAAATACTGTGCCATTGCTGAATTTTTTGAAGAATTATTATTTTCAAATAAGTTATTATATGCAATACTAATTAAAATTTTACATAAAAATAATCATGTAATTTCCAGCAAATCGAAATAAAGTATATGATATTTCAAATGTTGAAAATCCAATTACAAATAATTTTTATAATGAAATGAACAAAAAAAAATACATAATTTTATAAAGACTATTTGATAATGTATTTGTTTTAATGATTATATATTTAAAATAAAATTCCTTTATAGTTCAAAGTATTAGATGTCTTTAGACTGGGCGCACTATAATCATAATGGGATTTTATAATGAATGTATTTATGATGATGTAAATATAAAAGAAATTTGACTATATATGTGAAAAATTCATTACTTGATATAATTTGCTTGTTATTTGAATAATTCAGATCCACAATTTTATAATTTGATTTATTCAGATCATCTGGGTCTGATAGTGCGAAGAGTCCTTCTCTGGCGGTCTTTTCAATACTCCGGGGCTCGGATTATTATATATATTAAGGAACTCTTATTATTGGAGACGTTGAGAATCATTTTCCAGGAAGGTTCGAATTATTGGTTGAGATATTTTCCACTGTTCTGGGTGTTTTCGGCATAATTTGACCATTCATATGACTATATTTTTACTTGGCTAAGTTCCGCGGTATGATTAAGGAAGTGTTGAAATTTACTCGAATTAATTGACAAGAGTGACTTTTTCTTCTGTTAACTTCTAACGTTGCAGACCTCTTCAGTGAGGAAAGAAGAAATCCAAGAGACTTGCGATGCAAAAAGGGCGGAAAACAACGAAGTAAGACAAGAAATGTTAGTAATAGAAAAATTAAATAATATTCGATGCAGTCATGGTACTTACTTTGCTTTTTGTCTTTGAGCTTAATTACTGTCATTCAAGCCACAACGTTCAAACTTCTCTTCAGTAAATTTAAGAAATGCGAGACCGGTAATATTTTCATCGCGAAGTACTTGGAAATCATCATCGTCAAGCTTTAGGTTTTTTCCTTGTAAAAAAAAGATAAGATTTTCTGTATTCCATCTTTCGACAACTTCGAGTGATGGGAGAGTATTTTAAGAATCTTTAATAGTAGAGGCATTCTTGCTTTGTTTGGCTCGGTAACACAACTAAGTAAATTTTTGTTTATGCACGTTTCACGTTAAATCGCTATTGAATTATCAAATAAGCTTAATATAGAGATAACAATTTAAAAATCCAGTTTAAAACTAGATGACTGGAGCAGTGATAAATATATGCACTACTGTAATATATTTTAATATTTATGCATACAAAATGAAAAATGCAATGCAATGTAATGTAATGTGGGTGAACGAAATCTCGAAATTATCAGTTTCTCGTGTTTCTTTATCTACACTATCTTTTAAACCTACATTTTCTCCTTCCATCTTTCTGTTCATATCATTACCATTATCATTTATCATATCATCCACTTTATGGACTTCACATTAATCTCAAATTTTTTGATCTCGTTTCTCCTTCAATCGCTCTTTACTTTAAATTTTTGATAAGAGGTTATATCATGTCATGTCGTGTTATATTATGTCGTGTATGTGTAATTAATAATCTAAACTAATTAATTAATGCATAAATATTGTTGTTATTACGAGATTCCTCTTCTCATATTTCACTTTTGCTGCTGCTCCTTCCAAATCCTCTGGAATTTTATAACAATAAAATATTGTCGGATGAAGAGATCATACAAAAACACATATTTCATCAATAGGAGACAAAGGTAAAATCAACAATAACATCACAACCCGTCATCATGAGTCACGCGCAGAAACCATCAATAGGCGGAGAATCAAGTACCAGCAGTGAAGATGTCTACTTTGAAGCGATAGCAGATGAAGATAATAGTGACAACGACAACATCATCATTAACAATAACAATAACAATATCAATAACGATAACAACTACAATAACAATAACAATAACAATAACAATAACAATAAAAGTCAACAACAAGAAGTAATTCTAAATCAGACACAACAATATTTACCACATGTAGTAACTCCTCGTAGAACACGTGAACAATTAACCCATCAACATAGTTCATCATTTGATTCGATGGGCTCATCGCGTTTCGAGTCTGTTTATATGACACCTCGAGACTCGAATTGTAATTCCAGGTACATAAATGCGAATGGTTCGTTTGAAGAGATCCCGTGTCCGTTGCCTAATAATAATAATAATACTAGAAAAGAAATTTTGGGTATAGATAATGGAATCATGGACAAATATCGAAAACAGGCATCTACCGCTGGTGTTGGCAGTAGTAATAGTAGTAATAATAATGGCAGTAATTACATCAACAAAAATAGCGTACTTGCCAGATATAACAGCATCATTAATAAGAATTATGATGATGATGAACAGGATATGACGAATCGTGATGAACAGGATATGACGAATCGTAATGAACAGGATATGATGAATTGTAACAATAACAGCATAATGTCAATGAATAATAATAGCACAAACTTGAATGAATCCATGACATCCGTAATTTCATCATCAGCTCAAACTTACACCACTGCCATTCTTGCCTCCAATCAAGAAATTGAGATTAGTAGCATTATTAATAATACTAATAAAAGTAATACTAATAATAGCAATGATAGTAATAATAAAGATAATCAACAACGCAGAATAAATGCTTCATCAATGAGCGAGACTCCTACACTTAATAATAACACACTTAATCATAATACTCTTAATAGCATTAAGATTAATAATGAGAACATTGATATCGACTCAATCACACAGTACTTACAAAGAGATGCGAAACAGCGAACTACGAATCAGCGAACTACGAATCAGCGGTTTTCAGGTGTAGGTGGCGATGATATAGGTGCTGGAGTTGGAGGAAACGATTTTGATGTGGTGAAAGCTGCGGAAGAAGCATTTAATAATATGAGATTGGAGTTTAAATCTGATCAATGGTTTAGCACTTCTAATGACTTGACTAATGACACAATAGTGCAATTAGAACGTCATGATGATCAGCAGGGAGAACAACAAAAAGACAAACTTGAAAATTATAAAAATCGAAGAATGACAATTTATAATTTGAATAATGACAATGATAATTTTCTTAAAATCGGTCCTTCTGTAGTTCAACCAAGGGAACAATTAAAAATGCAACATCAGCAATTACATAATCGTCGTTATTCCAATCAGCAACAAAACATCCCAAAAAAACAAGAATTGCAACAAAAACGTAAATCTCGAATACATGATCTTTTTTTACCTCCTTTCACTTCTTTATTTTCTCCATCATCCCCAATTGCCGAAAATGATGATAACAATGATGATGATGGTGAAAATGATGATGAAAATGATAATGGTGATGATGTTAAAGGTGAGATTGATGATGACGACGATAAAACGCAAACTAATTCTCCAAGAACATCGAAAAGAGACTCAAGATTATCATTTTTGTCGTTAAAGCGAAAATCTAAGACAAAAGAGAGAATAGAGAAAATAGAACAAGCCGAGGATAGTGATATGAATGGTGATGATCATAACATTAATAGTGGTAATGGTAATTACAGAGATGATGAATCGATAATAGTTAATTCATATTCACCAACCTCACCAAAGAAACAAGTATCCATTAAAGAAGATCTGCCTTCATCTAGTAATAAGAACATTAATAAAAAAACCTCAAAAAGATCATCGAAATTATCACATCAAGTTATAATAGGAAAGCATGAAAATGACGTGCTTGAATTGAATTTATCTACATCTCAGTTGAATACTTGTGATAAAGTCTTTTTATTTATTGGGTGAGTAATTGATTGAAAGTACTATAGAATCAAAATGAAAATGGTGAATTCACACTATCTTTTTTATCGATAATTCTACATATAAATAGCACATCAATTGTTTTCTTCCTTGCTGTGCTCGATATAAATGTGGTTGCTATGCAAGTACCAATAATAGTCGGTGAATTTCATTCGGCTCAGGATATCACTTGGCTTGTCACTTCTTATAATTTGGGAAGCGTAAGTATATTTATAATATATTATTATTTCTGTAATTAACAATCAAAACTCACATCTACCTCGAAATTCCCTTATCTCGCATTAAAAGACGATTCTACAGCCACTCTGCATCAAACTTGCCCACATTTTTGGAAAAAAATGTGTTTTATTATCGGCGATTTTCTGTTTCGGGATTGGTTCGATATTTTGTGGCGCATCTCAAAACATGATCTGGTTGATAATAAGTAGAGCATTTTCCGGTCTAGGCGGTGGCATCATAACTTGTATGACCTTTTTTATTATCCAGGATGTTTTGCCGGTGACTCGTCAACGATTATTATTCAATACACTACTAAATGGCGTATTTTCAATTGCAATGGTATCGGGTCCTCTTATTGGTGGTCTTTTTGCGGATAGGTTATCGTGGCGTTGGACATTTTATATGAATGCTCCATTGTGTGCTGTCTCAATATTGATTTTGTACTTCACATTGAAATCAGATACAAACGCAAATGATAATGATACTGCTAACAATAATATATCGTCAAGACGATCTTCAACATCAATAACATCAACAACCACCGATAAATTAAAATCTGTTGATTGGATAGGATCGTTTTTATTATTCACGGGAATTTTGCTAATTCTTTTAGCAATCGGATTTTGCGGCACCAAAAAATACTACGAGTGGATAAGCGTACCAATCATAGGCCTATTTAGTGTCGGATTATGTGTAATAATAGCATTCGGGATACATGAGGCAAAATTCGCCACTGATCCTATAATTCCCACTATATTCTTAAAAGACTACGGACTACGAGCGATATTTGGCGCCTTTTTCTTCCTAGGCTGGGTGCAAATAGTAATCACCTACTACATTCCGATTTTCTATCAATATGTCCGCGAGAAATCGGCAATTGACGCGGCGATCGCGTTCCTGCCATATATTGGCGGAGTGGTGGTGATGTCGTGGCTGAGTGGTGTCACGGTGTCGAGAAGGCGCTTGTTTCGTTGGTTTATTGTTTTGGGGTCGGTGTTTCTGATTGTGGGCGTTGCTTTGCAATCTACTTTTGATTTGTCGACTGATATTGTAAGAGATATCGTTGGATTGTCATTGGCTGGAATGGGTGTTGGTGTTTTGTTCATGACATTACCAGTAGCGTGTCAAGCTGCTGCTCTATCATTAGAGAGAAGAGAACAATATAAAAAAGAAAATATTAGCGATGAAGATGATAATGACCGTGTGGAATCACAACGAAATCTTGGAATATTAACACAACCACAATCCACCCAACTTGCCACCATCACAAAAAACAATAACAGTGTCAACAATAACTCATTAGATTCTTCGGAAATGATAATCACAACTCTCGGAAACTTTTTCAAAAGCGCCGGTCTCGTATTCGGAATGTCGATATCTGGAGCATTGTTCAACAATATAATGTCTTCAGAGATATCAGCACTCAATGACGAACAACAACTAATAGTATTCAATGGTGTGAACACTGCGTTGATCAAACCTACTTCTATATTTACCAAATTTCCTCCTGAGTTACAATTGTTTGTTCGTAATGCGGTGCAAGATGGCGTTTCCCGGAATTTCACTGTTTCTTTTGTTATGGCTGCTGTTGGATTGGTGTTTGCGTTGTTTATTAGGCATTAAAAGGTTTTTAATTTGGGGACGGGTGATTGATTAATAGATATATAGATTTACTTAGATATTTAATTCTTGGATGTAATCTGTACTGTACAGTTTGTAATAATAATCAGCATACTCATAATAATCATAATAATATATAATTTAAATTTACATATAGAACAACTATAATTTTGCCATTAATTTATTATTGCTATAAATTAAACAAATGCTCCCTAACATTAATACGAGATTGTCATCACGCGCACCATTGAACACTTACTATTAGATATATCATGTCTCGCGCGTAATGTAGTATAGAAAATCAGCGATTGATATAGTGAAATGCACATAGTTATTTGATGAACAATAATAATAATATGATTATTATTGATTAATAACAAATCTATAATACTATGAGAATATGAATTAAAATTAATTCTTTTTGCCATATCAAGTTGCTTTATTTGCTGCTACTATGCAAAAACTTAATATAATAATATATTAATTACCATATTTTCATTGTCTAATATATGAATCAAACTACTGCGTCACATAGTCATCAGTATTGAAAAACTCCATTACCATGTTCTTATTTGAAAATATTCTGTAAAAGTATTTTCTTTACTATCATTATAAAATTATTTCTTTTAATCAATTTAGTTTAAATCTGAATATCATGCACTAATTAAGGAACAGTTACAATAATAAACCATGTGATTATCTATAAATTTTTAATTAGTAGTTTGTTTTTATTACCAGTATGTTAATGAGCATATTTAACATCTCTTGCTATAAAAATCGGAAATACTTAAGAATCGGTACATAACAATTTTAGTATGAAATTTCTGTATAAATTAAGCAATTTGGCTAGCTTTTTACTGCCAGCTTCGAAATCCGAAACGTCATGTGTGATAAATATTCCAAGAATGAAATACAAATACTAAAATCGATCAACAATTGGCTATAACTTGACCTTACATTAGGTAACGGTAAGTCAAAAAATATGCATGTAAAAAAGTATCCATTTTGGCTCGGGAACAGATGCACAAGGTTTTAATTGAACACAAGAAACCCTTCGCCAACTATTAAGGAGTCAAGTGAGTTTATGACACAGAGACTTCACGAAAGCCTATCAAGTTGATCGAGTATGGACAATTTTCATATTTATCTCGGTGTAAGTAAAATACTGGCATAAAAACAAAACCTTATGGCAGGAAAATTGTGGACGGTCAGCATGAAAGCATCGCTGAGAAACTACCTTGAAGCTTATTGTCACTAATGAGGCAATAAGGCAAAAAAAACTAGCCAGCAATTTTTCTTCCTCGGAAAGAGATGCTATGGGTACCCTTAAAGTTGAAAACAACCAGGCATTTATCTAACTTTGTTACTTCCCCGTTAGAAACCTTTCTAATCTTTAGTTATGAGCCGATGATTAGAATCTTTTTTGCAGCACGCACATATTGGCAGTTTCAAACGGTGAATATAATGAACTTTATAATTCTATATTGAATCAACATCTAATTATATGTGGAAATCTGCCAATATTAAAATTTCCTGTTAACATGCGTCTTTTTTACAAACTTCCAATTACGATAAATAAATATTATACAATTATGCAAATATGCATATAAATATGTGAGTTTTGCTTCAAGGTAAGACAACAAACTATTGTACGCACAAACAAAATTGCATGAATAATGTATGCTGTGTATCTTTATGTGCTTGTTTTTCGTAGATTAATTTGTGCTTAATTTGTAAAATGCATCATTCATTATATGTAATTCAGGGATTCTTGTGCCCTTGATTCAATGTGCATAACTAATAGGTTCAAAATACACTGCAAATAATAAACTTCTTCGAGATTACACGTCACACAACACGCACACAATTAAAATTTTCAATTGATTGGATTGGTTCAATGCTTGGAGCACACACACATTTACTCTTATGGTTCTTTTGTGTACAACGTCAACGATGCTCGAAAAATTATTGTCATTATTCTCATCATCATTTTCTTTTCATCACCTTCTAATCACCCATCACCATCATCTAAACCACACACACCCCAATATTTTTTTCTTACCTTTTTAACTTTTTTGCCAAAATTAAAAGTCGATTTGTAGTTGTTGTGTGTCTTCGCCAACTCCATTCATTCTTTCACAATCTCTCGAATATTATAAAGTTTAGGAAATCTTATAGTAAAATATTTAGCGTATTTTTTTAAAAATAAAACTCTTCCTTCCACGCGCTTCCTTATATTTTATTTTTTTACTTGCTTTCCCAAATAATTCCTTGCCGTATTTCATTGTTTATTATTATATATTTTCATAATGTCTGGTATGTCTAGAATTTTTTGGCTCTTGTCCACTTATCGCGGGCGTTGCTGCATCTCTTAAGAGGAAAATAGTGCAATAGGAATGGAGTTCTCCGCCATCTTATTTACATATCTTCAATATATGTCTTGTTCATCTGGAGTTGTTTTACCCGATAGATATTGAAACAACATCGGAAAGCTTCAAGCGGAATTTTGACTTTAGAGAAAACTTATAGATGGCGGAAAAAACTATTCCATGTGAACTTGCTTCGTCCGCCATATTCTTGCCAATCTTCTCGGTGATTAAGATTAAGCACCAATTTATCTAATAATTATTTCTTTATTCAATTAGATAATTCTACGAGTCCCCAGAGTGGAGGCGGCAAAGTAAGCTTGACTCCTTCATTTCAATTTAATTTAATTTCATGGCATAGTAAAAATAATTAACCATATGATATATTTTAAAAATCAATTGTAATTATTTCTTCAACTTCACATAGTTCAAAGAGGTTATAAATAGCGTAATCCGAAAAAAATTACAAGGATACGTTGGTTTCGCTAATCTTCCGAATCAGGTGCACCGGAAATCCGTGAAAAAAGGGTTCCATTTTACGGTGATGATTGTTGGTAAGTAAATCTTGATTAATTTGTATTATGTAATAAATATCTAGCGATCTAATTAGTTCTTTTTCGGTATGTTTTTTTTTTTAAAACAAAGGTGAGTCTGGTCTTGGTAAATCAACCCTCGTCAATACTTTATTTGGCACCACATTATATCCTAATAAAGCGAATGCGGTACCTTCGGACGAGTCACCAAAAACAGTAGAAATCCAATCGTTGAGTGCAGGTTCGTTCGATATCGTTTTCTTTTACTCTCTTTCTTACTCTCCTATGCGTAGATTCACATACTCGAATATCTTCAATGTAAAACTTGATAGATATCGAAGAAAATGGTGTTAAGCTAAGACTTACGGTTGTTGACACTCCTGGATTTGGTGATTTTGTTAATAACGAAGAAAGGTACGCATATAAATAATGCAAGGAACTTTGATTTTGTAAATTGTAATAATAATGATAATCACCTATTCTTGATATAACAGCTGGAAACCAATACTCGATAATATTGAAGCACGTTTCGATGCATACCTCGAACAAGAAAATCGCGTTAATCGTCGTAAGCTGGTTGATAATCGAGTTCACGCATGTATCTACTTTATTGCACCCACCGGTCATTCGTAAGTATTAATATTAAAAATAATCTTCAAATGCTATTTATATGGTTTGATAATTAATAATTCCATGAATTGATAGGCTCAAGCCTTTGGATGTCGAATTCATGCGACGACTACACACCAAAGTCAATCTTATCCCTGTGATCGCTAAATCTGATACGTTGACCGAGGACGAGATTAAAGAATTCAAACAACGAATTCTGGATGATATTGCTTTTCATAAAATTCAAATCTACCAAGCACCACAATATGAATACGATGATCCTGAGACGGTGGCTGAAAATCGCGAAATAATGGTAAGTATTTTTTTTTTGCTCTTCGATGTATTCCTCGTTTATATATTTAACGGTACATATAATTGGATATAGAGCAAAATTCCGTTTGCTATTGTTGGTAGCGATAAAGAAGTTGAACTTCCCGACGGCCGTAAAGTCCGTGGTCGTAAATACCCATGGGGTGTAATTGAAGTTGACAATCAAGAGCATAATGATTTTGTAAAACTTCGTCAAATGCTTATCCGGTATGTTCTCTGCATTTTACAGTTGACATATTTTTTTGTTTCCAATTATTCTGACAATTTTGAGGATAATAAATCCAATTAATTGCAACCTAGAACTCACATGGAAGAGCTCAAAGAATACACCAACGATGTTCTATATGAAAACTACCGTTCCGAGAAACTAGTCTCGATGGGTGTCCAACAAGACCAAACTGTCTTCAAGGAAGTGAACCCACTTGCTAAGATGGAAGAAGAACGTCAATTACACGAGGCGAAACTACAAAAAATGGAAGCGGAAATGAAAATGGTGTTCCAACAAAAAGTGCAAGAGAAGGAAGCCAAATTGAAACAATCCGAAGAAGAATTATACGCGCGTCATAAGGAAATGAAAGATGCCCTAGAGAAACAAAGAATGGAATTGGAGGAAAAGAAGAGGCGATTGGAGTCTGGTAGACCAATTACTCCCGAGAAAGCTAAAAAGAAGGGTTTTTCGTTTAATAAATAATTAAAATTAATTAATCTATTACCAAATGTCAAGAATTTTGGATCCTTTCTCTTTTCTCTATCGTCGAGATTTTTAATTTAAGCCTTAATAGTATAATTTTTATTTTTTTTTAATTTTTATATAATTAGATCTGTGGTTTTGATAGAAATAGTATTTCTACTTTTGGATGGTTGAATGGTTATGAATGGTATGTGCATGTAAGCGTGCATTCGGGTGGATTGAGTTTGGTTTTTTGGTATTTAGTACATTAAGTTTGGTGGAGGTGCTCTCTTGTTTATCGTTTTCTAGTATATAAAAATTCGCACACATGTCTCCATTAATATCACCATCCCCTTCTCCCACTCATCGCTCTCCCTACCTCCGCCCCAAAATTCATCGTCCAAATTATAGTTAGTTAATACATGCATATAACAACGCTGGTAGTTATTAGAACTTTTTCGCTATTTATATTCATACTTATTCATTATATATATATATTTTTTATTAATTTTTTTCTTGATGATGTAATTCTCCACCAGTAACATAATTTCATCATATAATTATATATTTATTAGTACTATTACCACTACAAGAATTATTATTACTATTTAAGTTTTACGATTTAACTAATTCATGCATACTCTGTACACACAAATTACATATATAATACAAGTGTGCACTTTAAAAGTAATCCCGAACAATCTATATACATACTTTATTTTTTGATGATATTATAATGCCAGATGTTCATATATTGAGTTGTCGATCACTAATCAAAAATTTTGTAGTCTCGGTATATAAATAATATGTACTATCCAGGGTCCTGTGAATACCGTCTACCCTTAATATGACAGTTTCATTGTTTGCGAATGTCATAATAACCGATTTTATACTAACGGGGTGGATTGTATTTCCTTTTTTAGATTAAACATCGGAGATATATAGTCTCCGATCTGAACCACACAAGTTGATCGTAAATTTCAGGCGATCAAGAGATTTATTATGAAGTTTAATTATATTCAATAAAATAAAATAAGTAATAATATATATATGTGATTATATAAGATTACTCCCAAAAATTATTCACATAATCTAAATCCACAAAATACATAAAGATAATTGCGTTGATACCAATTTCTAAATGATTTTCGTGTACTGATTCGTGGATGAGTAGTCCACGAACCACCCAAGATCACATTATGTTTATTATCGAAGAAATCCGACGAATAACCTGGATAGAGTTTACTTTTTTCGAAACCAGGATAATTATCGAACTCTGTGCTTGTCCATTCCCAACCGGAGCCCAACGTTTGAATTGTGTCGGTATCCAAGGGAACACTGGTTGGATGCCAAAACGCGAAACCGGTGGTTGATGATAGATCGGGATTGTGGGTAAAGATCGTGTAGAATAATCGCATCTCTGCTTCCGTAGGCAATCGCATTCCTTTCCACTCGGCGTATTTAGAAGCGTGTTCGTGACTTAGCATAACAGGCCAATTTTTTGCTAAAGACATATCAACGGGTCCAAACACTGTTCGCACTTTGTATTCCATTAATTGCGAAGATGAATTGGTAATCTGAATCCACGATGATGGATATTCGTCAGCTTTAGCGTCAGTCGCTTTCAAGAAATCAAGATATTCTTTATTGGTAATTGGTCTAGACTGGATTTTGTAAGATGCCACGTTAAATTCTCTGGGCGGTCTTTCATTATCCCAACCAAAAGCTAATGTAATCGGATCTTGATCATCTGTTTCCTCATTATCATCATGGCCAAGGGTGATTGTCTGTCCTGGTATTTCAATCAATCTTGCTTCTGGGGCGTCTATCTCTGCTGTTTCCCAATGGGGCGGCACAACACCTTGAGGAGGTTGAGTATTATTTGATTGGATCAGCATATAAAGTATAGTTTCAAGATGCATTGCTTCGTGTTCAAAAGTCATCCAAAGTACACGTGCTAGACGACGAGACATGTTTTTATGATGATCATCATACACCTTCAAAAGCCTTTGTCTCACTTGATCACGGAATTTTATGATAGAATCAAAAGCAGGCCACTTGTCAGGGACGATGGAATGCGGGTGACAGCGACTTGGATCATCCACGTCAGGATCAATGCCTCGTTCAAAAATAACCGCGAAATTTGTTGGCTCAGTAAATTCTTCTTTAAAATGTCGTGCTAGAATGATGTCTAAAAATGCAGGAATATGTCCAATATAAAAGATGAATGGATGGCGTAGATCTATTGGTTTTTCAAAATGCATATCCGAGGAAATCATGGTCATGGTAACAGTATCCCATGCTTTCCATAATTCATGCCATTCTTCAAGTGATGGAACTGATGTTTGATGATGACGTTGAAAATGAAATGGAGGTTTTTGAACAAGATGCAAATCATAAAGTGCCTGCGAATCTGGCCAACTTTTGATCAATGACATATGACTATTGTGTATCAATTCAATGGTTTCCAAACGATCATATTTGTAAGAATATTCAATGTGAATTAGTTCGCCTTTTTCCAAAATAATCTTCGTAGTTGTTCTTGGATTTGGCGATACATATTCTAATACTTGATCAATCTTGGATTTGTAGTAGGCTTCATGTCTTCCCTTTTCAACATTATATCTCGCAAGATATTCAAAATTGTCACGATTAATGAAAGGAACACCAGGAGTACCGAGGATTGAATCCACATGATTCAATCCATTCATGATGAATTCTTCTGTGACTCGCTTCGGATCGTTGTATGCGATCGTCACCTTCTTAGGATCGTTTCGTCGGTCAATTCCCATCAAAAAAAGATCGCCGATATTCATTGCCTGTTTGCGGAAGGTATCGATGAATTGACAAGCATCATCTCTAGTGAAATTTCCGAGAGAAGATCCCAACCACAAAATCATTTTTGGTGTTTCTTTTGCTAATTTAGAGACAAATTCCATCCCTTCTTCATAAGTACCCAAAAGACCCATAAGAGTCACGTTTGAAAAACTACCTAAAGATGACAAAGATTTCTGTAATTCATTCTCCATAAGATCGAGAGCATAATAAGTTATATCCTTTTTATTTCTCTCCAACGATTCGAGTACGAGTTGCGTCTTACGAAGTGAGCTATTGTTGTTATTCGAATTTGTAAAAGATTATATTTGAAATCAATCCGGCAAAAATTATCCAGATAGTTAGATTTTATAAAAATGCGATAATTGAGACGGACGACGATCTTTTTCGAGTGAATACAGCTGCTTCGTAAGCCAAATACAGTAAAAATGATCTCGACCAACAATAAAAAAATATTTACCCGGCGCCCAACTCAATTATTGCACTTCCATCCTTAATATAAGCTATAATATCATCAACTTTTCGATTCAAAATATCAATCTCACAATTTGTCAAATAATATTCATCTAAATACGTAATTTGATCAAATAATTGCAAACCACGGTCGTCGTAAAGAACCATTGTAGGGATAGATTTCATAACCGAAGGTGACTCTGGAGTGAGCCCTTTCAAGATTTCACAGGCCAAATTAAATTTCGTGGTTTTTTGTTGACGAACGTCATAAATTTTAAAATTTTGATTGGTCCCAGCACCATTGATAGCGCGAATCGCAGATGGCGGCATTCTTGACTGGAATTCCTTTATAACAATTGACAGCTTGTTAAAAGAAAATACACTGTAAATTGTATTTTAATATTCGAGCGCTATAATAATATACTATGAATATTTAGGTAACGATCCGCATATTTAATAGAGCTAAACCAAAAATGGGATTTTATATTTTTTGAATTTTTCCATTAATAGCCAAACACATCCTAATTACGTATGGGCGGTGTAGAAAATTCAATTTTAAAACCACGTTCTCAAAAAGAACGAAAATTTTTTATATTGTTCTCAAAAAATAGACAATGTTCTCAATTATGTCCTCAAGTTTTTAAAATCTCGAATAAGAGAACATTTTTGTAGCCACAAATGTTCTCAAAAATGTTGTGATGTTCTCTGAACATTGAATTTTATACACTGCTAATGGGTACCTATTTAATTAACGTTTTTTTTTTTTACAAGACAGAAATGGTAAGAATTTTATGGGGAAATACCCGTCAATTTTGTATTATATACTTTCATAAAATTTTTTCATCATACGTCATCTGGTCCCACAGTTTTTATACATATTACATTAAATATAGAATTAAATATTTCTTGGAAGAAATAAAATTATTTTTTCTAATCATACCATATACAGTTAAAGTTCGATAAAGCGAACCCTCGATAAAGCGAACTCACGTTAAAACGAAGAATTTCCAGGAACCAACCTATTAACAAAGAGCTTGATATAACGAAGAATAATATAAATAGTACTTTATAACGCTAAGCGAAGTTTATTTTTGAATAACGATAACCCGGGGCCTTCGGTTTATCGAACTTTAACTGTATGGATGCATATCGTAATGGTTTGACGGGAAATGCTGCTGGAGTGATACCTATTTAAGTATGATATGATATGACTGGTAACGATAAGATTCACATGCAAATTTTCTAATTGATGATAGTGAAATTTCACCAAGAGCTTTAGGAACTGTTTCAATACTCCTTTCGCTTTCACTGTGATTAGCTAATTTTTGTAGATCATTTTGTGATTTTTGCGAAATATTATTGGCTAATAAAATTAAATTAAAGAATATACGTAAATTGGCGAATATATTATTATACATAATTTAACAAATCGTGGAGAAACCTATCGGCTAATAAGCAGGCAAAGAGAAGCACTTGCGAATTTAAATAAGGCATTAGGAATTAAAAATTATGTGTCGGAAGACCGTTATAATACAAAGTGTTTAGATCTGAAGGTATAGAGTGAATATTAAGTAATAAAGAGATCGTTTTTAGATTTTAATGCTGCTCTTTATAAATTATTTAGTACCGTAAAGCGCTCTTTATAATATCCCCCCTTGTAAAAATTTGAACCACAATTTGGTTCAATTTTTTTTTAGTAAATTCAATTATTTTTTATGTAAATAATTAAATTAGATTTCACTATGCGATTTTTTAAGAAATTTAGTTATTGGTTTAACAGTCTTGAGGTTAAATTGAGGTTTAAATTTTATACAAAGGGGGATACTATACAGAGCGCTTTACGGTATGTCGGGTCATCAGGGTGCATTGGCCTAAAGTTCTTGCGCATTGAAACAAGTTTTGGCGCAGTTGAGGACATACAGACTGTATTGAGGATGCGGTGTGGGTGTTGAAGATGTAAAATGGAATAAATGTTAAGAATACAATGTATGATGTTTATTTAGTGTACATAAAGCTTTCCCAAAAATAATAGAAGGGAATAACTCATCAATCTACAAATAAAACCAGTGTTGGCATTCGAATTCACTTAAACCTTATTGATAACTCGACTCTTCTATGTTTCTAAATCAGAAAAATGGCTAATTTGGCATTGAAAACTAAACTTATCTAATTTTCCAAAATTATTTCCTTTTTGTCATTTATAATTAAATACTCAGTGTGAGCAACATTACGGTTAGTAGCATTATGGTTATACTTGATGTTTTGGAAAATAACACTTCATTCACCTCCCGGCTTAGCATTTTTTACTTCATCCTTGAGATTAACTAACCGACTAAGAGCATATGCTTTTTTCTTTGAAAGAAGAATTCTAACTCTAGAAGTAATCTTCCGATTCATTACCATTGTTTCCTTTACTAAAGACAACAATGGCAATGAATCGAGGAATCAAATTATAGTGTAATTAAATATTATAATAATGCGATGGGCGTGAAGTGTGAAGAAGATCGTAATAAATGCGATAAATGTAAAAAACATTTAATAAATGCGATTCAACCTTAAACTCAACAAGAAATTGATATTTATAATTTGTTTTGATCTTTATTAAATAAAAAGCTTGTCTTTCACCTCTCTTACTATATCACAATTACTAAACTAGCACCGCAATCTGCATATTATTATTAATCCGTAACAAAATCTCTCCCAAATTGCGCACTTGCTAAAATGTTTATGGCCCTCTCAACAAGTAGATCTACATTACTACGATCTATATTTCATCTAAAAAAATCTTCGTCACTAATATTAGTATCGTCACTGGTTTCAGTAACATCTATTTCATCTATATTCTCATCTTTTGCTCTCGCATATGAATTCAGAGTTTTCTGAAAGGTCTTACAATTCTTTTCAATTCCGCTTATAAAATAATCAATACAATATTGGCATCGACTCCCTAATTTGAATAAAAAACATTCAAAATGATAAGCATGTCCACAAATTAAAATACCAGCTTCTACAGTATTTGTGTAAATCACATATCCCAGAGCACTCCAAGTAGCATTGATATTAGCAAAGTCATCTTGGCATTGCTTTTCATCCATTTGGCCAAAATAAACTTGTAATAAAACATGCAAGCCATCAGATTTTTATAATTTGGAAGCTTGAACAGCTAAAGCTCATATTTTTTTATAGCTGGTTATTGAAAAAACAATTCACTTACCTTCTTCAAGCATTTTAAGCTCTCTACATATAGCCTTTGATCCTCTATCTGAATCATAAAGAATTTTTACAAACTTATCTTTATATTGTTACAATTAGAAATTTCTATAATTCCTATAATTTTCATAATTCCTATAATCTCTATAATTTTCATAAACTTCAAAAACTATAAAAAATTCTATAATTTCTATATTTTTCATTGTTTTTATATATATTAATTAATCAAATTTTATAAATTATCATTTTTATAATTTTTATATAATTAGTCATAAATGTAATATTTACTAGTAAAAAATATTTATTATAAATAAAACACAATTGAAGTGTTGAAAAAGGCATCAATTGATCAATACAAAATCTAGCTAGTCAATAAATCACTTCTTGTTTATTATTTGATAAAAATTGTATATTAATTGATTTTATAATTATTAATCTTGTTATAACACTTATTTTATATATTACTGAACACCCAACCAGGTTACTATAGAATATCAGTACTATATTATTATAGAACTGTTATTACATTAAGTAAATACAAAGGTGTTTATTAGTAGTAGTGTTACTTATTCTAAATTAATAAAATAGAAGAAGTCGCATAGCATTACAATCCTAAAGCAATTGGATTAAATTATTAAGTTATCGAGATAGATATTGGTTGAACATCCACATTACGAGATTACCTATCTAAACTTGGGACTTGTGATAATGTGTGTCAAAGAAAAGGAAAAATAATTTATTACATCCAATTAAAACAAAATTATTATTCGAGAAAATTGGAATTAATTTAGTAGGATTATTACCATTGTTATTATTTTATATGAGTTCTTGAGAGAGCTGGTAAGTGCTTAATAATATTATAATAAGTTACTTGATCAGGATAATTATAGTAAAGTTTATTAAAAATGACAGATGGAAGAGTATATATAATCAAATCTATATAATGCATCAAGCATTAAACTATGATTATAAACGAATCTAAAGAAAAGTAACAGTGTGTTCATGACATGATCAGCTAGAGTGAGACCTGGAATTTTTAATAATAGTGTTTAATTAAAAATTTTATGTAATAAATATGTAATTTCATTATAAGATCATAATTCAATAATAATAAAGTATAATTTTATTATTAGAC